GGTTAGCCATATTTCTTTTGTAGTAAACCAACCAGACAGGTACGTTGTGAGGAGCAATTTTAGTCTTGATTTGTCTCAACAATGGTTGTCAGAGGCATGTGGGGGAAGGAGAGCACGTGTGCAGCTCACAGGAGACAGCCAGGGGCTTTTCTCTGGGGAGACTTCACCTGGCAACCGCCAGATGGGGGAAGGCTTTTCTCTGGGGATACTTCACCTGCAAGCACCTCACATGGGACAGGCAGTCAGGAGGAGACACTGCACCTCCAGAGACGCTTCTCCTTTTAAATGGCAGAAGGTCTCTACCAGTGGACTGCAGACGAAGGCTGGACTGGGCCAACGGTCTCCTGGTCCGCAGACAGACTTTAGGAGGGACCAGGGGGTATAAAAATGAACTGCTTCACGGACTTTTGTGAGGCTTGCTCACTGGTTCACTCGCTGATTCATTCGCTCCCTGCCCTGGCCCTAGCCAGCATTTTGCCTTTTTTGCCCTGGCTCTTCTCCTCTCGCCGGCTCTCGCTTACCCACGCGTATCCGCCTTTCCTCTTGCTGGGCGCTTGGCGGGACACCGGCTGACCACTGTGTGCAGCCGTGTGCAGCCTGTGTCCCGTCCTAATCCTTTTCCCGTCTCAAGCGCCGCCTGTCCTGCCTCTGTATCCCTGGCCGACGCCTGCATGAGTCACCCGTGTCCAACCCTGCCTGCCCCCGTCCCAGCCTACTGACACGATCCTTGTCACGACTCCGTCCATGGTTCTGTACTTCTGCCAGAGTGCCAAGTCACCGGCATGTCCGGCCAGCCGTTGCCGCAGGAGCTGCGTCTGTGAAGCCGCGCCTCTCTGAGAGCTTTGCAAACTCCTTAGCAGGCACCTAGCACATCCCCCGTCCTGTGGACATCAACGGCACTCCTCAGACCTGCTGAGGGTAATGCCTGCTTTGTCTCTGTCTACTTTCTCTCCCCACATCCTTTTCCATTTTCCTTCCTCCTTTTCTGTCTTTTCTAGCTCTCTTTAGTACGCAATTACTTGTTTCCTTTTTTTTTTTTATTCGTTAACAATAAACGGCTCACAGACACAAGGTTTGTCTCAGTTAACTTAATTTTGTTCCTGGCCATCTAATTCTAGAAAACTCCTCGCAGTTATCCACAGGAGTGGATGAAAAATACCTGACACTCTCTTTGCAGACTCTCAGATGCTTAATGGCAAAATATAGATGATGTGTTATTGTCTGTCACTTTTGATGTGTCAATACTGTGAAGTGGTATGTTTTTCTTTGCACTGTACTAGAAGTTAGGCAAAGGATATTTGAAAACTAAATTGACTGAGGTGGTACAGTGGTGAAATGGATACCTTCTGTTGAAAAAACTGGCAAACGGTAAGAAATAGTTTAATAGGGCAATCATTTAAAAAAGAAACCTATCTATAAGGTAGGCATATAGAGAACTTGAATATGTGTGATCGATGTTAATCAAAGAACTGATGAAGATATTTTTATAATTGCAGTTTGAGGCTTTTGAACTTTCCAGGCAGTTATGATGCCACACAAAACTTTTGATTGGAAGAAATTTGGCATGTGCAGAGAGCGTGTGAATATTTCCCATAACAGATTGATTACAGGATAATATCTCCTGCCTGTAATGCTAGAAACTACAGTCATTCTGAAGGAACAGAAGTTACTTACAAACTACTTGCGTTTTGGTATGCCCTTCACTGAGATCTATTTGCTTCCAGGTTGGAATGGAAAATAACTTTGAATTGTGCATCAGATTAAAAAAAATAGAATATGGTGCGATGGAAGCTGAAGGTACCACCCTTTTAGGAGAATAAAGTACATACCTGCAGTTTTCATGCTCATAGTCTCATCTAATCTGATGAAAATCAGCCTTGACTTCAGTATACAAGGGTAGAGTGCAGCTGGAGAAGAAGTGTATCTAAAGGGACAGAGATAGAGGAAATCTTTGAAAATGCTAGAAATAATTTTTGATCTGAGTTGTGACTTCTCTCTCAGAAATTAATCTTCTTTTCCCAGTTTTATTAACTTGTACCTGGTTTTCCACCAAAGTTTATTACTATTAATAAACTTGAATAATCAAAGTGTTGAGAAGATTTCAGGCCATCTGGAGAAAAACTCCTACTTACAAATGTGTAGGATAAATATGCAGAATTTTCACAAAAACTGCATCACGTAAAGTCTTCTAAGGTTTTCACAGTGAGCAAATGCACAAACGCTCTTTGCTTCTGAATCGTTTCCCTTGCTTACACACCATTGGCTCTGGACAATTCGCAGACAGAGTTTATCTCAGTTGTACTAGCAATATTGCTAGTAATGTAGATTTGGCATCCCCTTATGTTTTTGTCCTGTTCGTGTCTTTGCTGTTCTAATTGTGTCTCTGCTCTGCATGGCTGTATTCTAGATGGAAGAGTTTTATATAGGACACCAATCTGATATAATTGGGAAACACTGCCAACTGAAAACCAATCTGTGCATCTCGGAACTGGAAAATGCTAATTTTTTTAGGGGTTTATGACACCTGTGCTGTGTGGTGTGAATCTGGGCGCTGAGCTGCCAAGCACAGATGCTGGGTGAAGTGCTCTAGTTGCAACAAGATGGAGGATGGCGCAAAGTTAAGACCTGTGTACCTGAAGGCGTTGGTGACCAAAGAGGAGGAAATACTCGAAAGTAAATAATAGTACAGTTAAAAGGCCCTTAGCAGGGTCATCTAATATTTCACTTGGTGTTCCGATTTAGATATCAGTGCATATTACGAATTTGTCCAGTCTCTGATGTGATAGATATGTAGGACACCAGAAGAGACCGGTCTGGCTGGTGGTCTCTAAACCTAACGCCTGCAAGCTGTCACCTCTGAGTCAAAGACAATGCCTCTCCATTTTAACTATATGTATTTGCCATAGCAATATTTTCTGGCATGATTCTTGTCACTGGATCAAACTGTTTTGATACCAATTCCATGGAGAATGCTGCTGCCTCTCCTTCACTGTGCCATCACCTGAAGCAGAGCCAGTTTTGAGTCTGGAACTATGAACTACTCTGGACCAGTGTAACTCTGTGCAATCATTCCAAAGTCTGCACACAACATCCCAGGAGAACATAGTTGGTTTGGGTTTGTGCTGCAGGTTACAGTAATGGACTTAATCCAAAGAATGGTGTCTTGTAGGACTTGAGAGACGTCAGGGCACTTGCTCCGGCCACCCTGGCAAGTTCCTGGCTGATATAGGTATCGAGTATCTTAAGACAATCTTCTGCTATCTAATGGGAGAAAAATGAGGCAGTGATTTATTATAAGTCCCTCTGTTCACCAAAATGAGTACTAGAGCCATCTTAATTTAGCAGCTAGGGATCAAAGAGCTCTTAAAAAAACTGCAGTGACAGTAGATATGGGTCTTAAAAAATGCCAAATTTAAACTGACAAACTAAAGCTTGACAGAAGAATTAAATTTCATCAAAGTCTTTTGACTTCAAAAGGTCCATAACAGTTGACATTATCTTGCTAGGAGCTTATGAGTCTCAATTCTGGTCTTTTGCATTCTTTTATGAATTTTCTTAGCCTGGTTGGGCTTGTCTCTAGAAAACAGCATTTTTAAAGAAAGCAAAGAATTTGCAAGGTTTCTGTGTGCACTTATAATATGCTCTCTTCCCTATCTGCCCATTATCAGTGCTGTTCCTCATGATTATTTTAACTAAAAAAAAAAAAAAAATTAATGGACAGTGTAATTACTCTCCTCTCCTTTTTAGCAGTAGTTTCATTCTGGAAGAATTCTCCAGAGTCGTTTGTACTCTTGACTAACTGCGTATCGGTGGGGTTACAACTATGTTGAGCTATGTCAGTATGAATAAAAAAGCAGGATATTTGCAGAATTATTTTTATTCTAGGTGATACATATATGCAGTTCCAAAGGTCAGAGGATTCCTTCACACAGAAATTTCATTTAACTTATTAATTAATCAACCTCTGCACTTCCAAAATTACTGCAACATGTAATTTATATAGGTGCAATAATTAACTTTTTTTCTTACCATACTCATTAATGGTGTTACTGTGAGCAGTCTTTTTTCCTATTCTCATCGGTAATGCAAAATGTCACTGTATTCCATATCCATCTGTGCCCAAAAATTGTTAGTCTCTTTAAGACCCTGCAGCCAGAAAATGGAACCAGGATGGGGAGTGGGAGTGTTGCCACTGTCCCTTTACAAGTCTGAGCCTGGAAGCAGAGAAACATCTCTGTCTTCTGGCAGTGTTTGCTGAAGGCAAGGGCTCTGCTTTGGAACATGTTCCTTTGGGCTGGCAACAGTAGCCACATGGAAAAACTGCATTTGAGCAGCACAAATCTTGAGCTGGTCCCTGGGGCTGCACCACCCCATGTCAGTGCCTGGAGACTGGTTCTTCCCTCTGATACACCTGCGGCATGGAGAACAGCAGCACCAACACTGGTGGAGTCCAGTGGGTGGCAGCAGGAAGTGGTGGGTGGTGGAGCTGACGTTGCACACACTGGCGATGCCCATCTGCCACTAGAACTGCTTTGTTAGCTCTGCCTTCACAGGAGGGTTCTTTTTGTCCATCATCTTTTTTTCCCTTCTTCTCCCAAACTACACAGTTGATTGGGGAACACCATCTTCCCTTTGTCTTTCAAGTCACATAGGAGTCTGTGAGGGATGACATCTTGGAAGGGGGAGTTACTCCACCATTCATTTCCATGGGTTTGGCAGATTCAATGATTTTGGATCCAGTGATTATTTACTGTTATTTTTTACCTGTTTCTGTTTTGCTGGTTGGTAAACTTATTTTTTTCACTTGTATCGGTTTGTATTACTTTCTTAATGGTGGAAATGGATTCGTTGAAACTAGGGGGAGTAATTTTAGAGTGCTCACCTCTTTAAATTGTCTTAAACCAAGACATTGATATATGTGTAAAAGTTCCTAGTATCATTAATCCTAATGTAACATTAATATTTAATGCTTTTTTCCCCTCTGTGTTTTCTTGTTTCAGTTGCAAATGAGACAGGTGACAAACATCCACGACCACTTTCACAATTTGCCCGTAAGTAGCTTTTTCCATTTTAGCTTGTCAATTTCTATACCTACTGTAAAAAACCCACATTGTGCTGGTTTGAGATAGTTTTATGGGTGGGCCAACGCTCCCAAGTTCCAGTCAGCCCCGTCCCCCACCCTGGCACAAATTCCTGGAGAAGGAAATTAAAAGAAAGGAAGAAAGAAAAAAAAAAAAAACAACCTTGTTTATTTAACAAAACAGAACAATATGCTCACAAGGCACGGGAAAAGGGACAAAGGAATTACTAAAAAAAAAATAGTAATGTGGAAATAGCTGTGGAAATAGCTGTTGGATCCTAGAGTCCTTTTGTCCTTGGGTGAGGCCTCCCACTCAGGGTGGAGGGGTGGGTCCCAGAAGGCCAGGTGGGGTTGCTCTGGTGGCTCCCTAGAGCATTCCCGCCTACCATCTCATGGGAATCTTCTGATTCTCAGATGAGAAAAAAGCAAGTAGAAAAAAAAGTCCAAAGAAGAAAACAACAACAACAACAAAAAAAAAAAAAGCAGTCCCAGGGAAACAGCTTTCCTCACCACTGCTCAGTACGCAGCCACAGCTGGAATGTGTGTAACATTCCCTGACACTGTCCTTGAACAGGGAGGAATAAAACAACATAAACTTTCACCAGAGCAGCCTCAGCTAAGGTAGTTTCAGAAGGGTTGTTTTTTCTCTCTCTGCACATAAGCAGGCAATGGGAATACAGCCACCCTAGGACACACATTTAATAATTATTTTCTTGTCATAATTGTGTCTGCCCTATATTACATGTCGTTTACAGTACGCAGCTGAGGAACCGTAGTACTTGATTGGGAAGAAGTCACCTACAGAAGTTCGGTCTTACTGAACAGGGCTGATGCAAATTTAAATGAATGAAAGACTTTGGGACCTTGCTATTTTTTCAAGCAGAGAAGGTTATAAATATCTCATAGCCGCTGAAGTTCACTACATTGCTCACAGAGAGATTTGTGATAAATCTTCGAAATAACATATGAAAAATATTACTAAACCTTACTGGTGTCTTCTTTATCGCTTTGCTTCACCGAAAAAGAACTAAAGGAATGGCTTGGAATTTGGAATAACTGTCCCAAATTTAAATAAAAAGGAGGGATGTACTTGGTAATGTAGCATCAACTGACCATGACTGTGACCATATGAATCATTAGAAAGATATGATAGAATATGTAGAAATAAGGATAAAGATAGGACACTCCAATCCTAGTATATGCAGTTTAATGATGATTTGTGATCATTTAGCAGGCAAAGTTTCTTTTTTATTTATTAAAAGGTGGGGAGCATTTGCGATTATCATTGCCACTGCAGCTCCAAATGTTAAAATAATTCACAGCTATCATACAATATTTCACAGAGTCTCAGGATGGCATTCTGAACCTCCAGCACAGCTATAACCATCTTTCACAGGGTACAATAAAACAAGGGGGAAGCATTTTTGCAAATGTGTAAACTTATTCACAAGGATTTGAAATTAAAKTAGTTGAGGGCTACACCTAGTGCAGGTAGCTTGGTGGGTGGCTGCAGTGCAAACTGCAGGTTGTTCTCTGGATGATAGGAAATAGCAGGAGCCCCAGGCAACAAGTCATGACCCATTTACATAGAACATTTGCGCAACGAAGGACATGGGGACTTGTTGCTAGCCCGATGACTGGACACACGTGAGAGCAGAAAGACACCAGACAATTGAACTATTGTTTATGTAGCCTATAAGGGTATAAAAGCCCAGGAATTGCTTGGTTCAAGATCCCCCATCCTCAGCACCCAGCTCAAGCTGGTTTTGTGTGTGTGCACCAGATAAAAATTATTTTGCAGATCCAAGATATCTGGTACTGCTATAGGAAACCGGTGTACAAACAGGTAAGGAAATCTTATCTGAGTGCATGAGAATGATGTGTGTAGGGAGTCAAGCAGGCAGCTGTCAGCTCATTGGGGCTGGCTGCTGTGAAGGGGCTTTGGTCCCAGCAGTGAAAGTCTTCGGTGGTGGGAGTGTAACTGGTGGAGTGAATCCTGGATGGTCAGACAGGAACATTTCCTTGCAAAAACTGTGGGATATTTTGTGCGTTTGGCTGAACTTGGTTCAGAGAGAAGAGGTTGAGTGGTTTTATACTTAAGAAAAAACAGTGAAATCAAACGCCAAAACAAAACAACTCAACATCTTTTAGAATCATTGTGCTGGTAAAAACTAACAAGCATTTTACAAGATTATGTGCAAAACTATTCAAAATAGTGAGCTGTAGAAAGTGTTTTAATATACACTGATTCCTTCAAGAGTCTAGCCTAAGAGATTATTTGATATTTTTGTGGGCTTCTTAATAATTTTCTTCTTTTACAATCAGCAAAAACAATTGTTTGCAGATGAAACATTTCTGGCAAGCCCACAAAACACTAGCTGAAGTGGTTATTCACTTCAACCTGTTGCTACTCTGTGCACATGGACCCTCTTCAAAAAGTAGAATGCAGGGACACCCGCTTGTAGAGGCACACTTGATTTTCCAAACGTGGTATTTGTGTTTCTTTTTTTTTTTTCCTGGAAAACGTAACTTCTTATGAGAATTCAGATTTAGGTGTAACTAGATATCTAATTGATTGTTGGGATTTTAACTTACAGCTTTATGCCAAGACCAGGTTTTTCAGGAGGTGGACATCAGCTGAAATACTGCTCTATTTTCTGTATGAGATTTTCTGTAAGCTAGTACTTGTTTATAATAATGCCTTATGTATGCTTGTTGAAAATATTTGTTAAAGTACATTTTTCTACATGTATTTATATTAGGTAAGAGAATAATAAATATGCAAAAAATATTTTACAACTTCCTCCTGAAAAAGGAGATTTGTAATTGCTCTCAAGGGAATTTGATTATTTCTGTTCCTAAATGGAGGGTATCACCTGTGACCCAGTTTATTAACATGGTCACAGCAGCAGAAGACTTTTTCACTTTTCAAAACATTATTTATATTAACTTGGGAGACATGGTGTGGTCTTCTTCTAGGGGGAGGGAGATGACATGCCAGGAGTACTGCCAGGAAACTGTGGTTCTATTGCCTGATGCTATGTATTGCTCTTTCAGTGAAAAGGAAAGGAAAATTCTCTTGAATTTTAAAAAGATAAAAAATTTGGATAAGAAAATGCTTTAAATTTCTGTTGTGGTTTTCAAGAGATAAAGGGCTAGGCCTATCAAATCTGTAAAGAATTTTGGCACTTACTGCACTGCTATTCAGGTATAATATATTGGTTTTTGGACAATATGCAGATGAATTCTTGTTAGCAAATAGGGATGAGAATGTTTGTGTACTAGATGCTATACATTTATGTATTGCCTTAGCGAAGAAGGGGCAGCATGCACCTCTATCCAAACTTCAGCTGTCTCAAAGTAAAGTAACAGTATTTCATTCTTATTTTTGAAAGGGACAATGAATGGCAGACCCAGAAAGAATAGAGTCCATAATGAAGCGACTACGTCTAGTTGTAAAAAAGCAGGCATGAGAATTTTTTGGAACTGTGAGATTTTGTTGGCTGTGAATTCCTGCATTAGGAGACTTGATTAAGTTTCTGAGACAACAACCAATGAAGAGTTAGACCCTATTTCATGGGCCCCAGTGAGAGCTTTTAAAGAAATGAAAGGAATTTTGGTATTGGCTTGAGCCCTTGGGTTCCAGATTATACTAAACCCCTTTAATCTGTATGTACAAGAATGTGAGGTATAGCTGTGGACCTCATCATAAATCAGTTGTATATTATTGAGTTCAACTAGATCCAGTTGTAGTGGGATCACCAGCCTATACCAAACCAGTGGCAGGAACAGCAACAACATTGGAGAACAGCTGCCCCCTTATCCTGAGTAATTCTGTAACAGTCTGTGTCCCAGGTGAGTTGGAAATTATGCTGGACAGTATGCAACCCAAGCTCTACAGACACAATAGGAACATAGGCATGAACTAATCCTTCTAATGGCCACCAACTTAATCTTAAAAAGCTGTAACACCTCGAATTCAGCAAGTGTAATAACTTTGCCTGACGATTTGAGGCTTCTTGGGATGCTTAGTCATTGTAGGTGTAGAGCATGACCAAAGAAGGGCAATGAAGGTGGTGAAGGATCTGGAGCACAAGTCTTATGAGTAGTAGTTGAGGGAGTTTGGGTTATTCAGTCTCAAGAACTGGAGGCTCAGAGCAGACTTTATAATTCTCTGCAGCTACTTCAAAGAAGGCAGGGTGAGGTGGGGTTTGGTCTTCTACTTCTTACAGGTAACAAGTGACAGGATGAGAGAAAATGGCCTCAAGTTGTGCCAGGGGGTATTTACACTAGATAGCAGAAAAAAGTTCTTTGCTGAAAAGGCATTGGATTAGGCTGTGGTGGAATCACCATCACTGGAAGTGGTCAAAAAAAATGTAGATGTGGTACTCAGGGACATGGTTTGGTGGTCTACATGGCAGTGCTGATTTAATGGCTGCACTTGATGGTCTTTCCCAGCATTAAAGATCCTGTGATGAAGAACATCACCACTGTGAGCAATTGAAACGTATTTCAGATAAAACACGGATTTGAGTTATTTTGAGTTCTGTTATATAACCCAGATCTAGTTCCTTTTATGAATGTTTCATTGTACTACCTGCAGGGACAATGTTGGACTGGGTACACTGTGGTAAGTGAGGAACAAGTAATAGAAGCAGAATCACTCCCAGCAAAGATAAGTGTGCAGAGAGCAGAACTTCTAACCTGGACACAGGCAGCACATCTGAGAAGAAGGTCAAGAAGTTAATCTTGACATCTATATGTCTATACAGACTCTCAGTATGCTTTTAGGCTATGTCATGCCTCAGGAATACTGTGGAGAGAGCAGGGATTTTTCACATCAGCAGGAAGGGAATATGTAATGGAGAGGAAATAGGCAATTTACTATCACCAATAAAGTTACCTGAAGAAATTGACCAGCTGTCCTGGTTTTACTCAGTCTGGTTTTTGGTGGTGGGGGGATGGGACCAA